CGGGGAGCGCGCGGGAGCGGGCAGGACGCCCGGCGGCCCCAACTCTTATAAACCGCTTGGGGAGGGCTGGCCTCGGGAGCCAATCAGCCCGGGGCAAGGCTGCCTCTTCCACTCCCACCTCTGGTTCCCCTTCCTTCCCATCGCCCTGCCTCTCCTTCTCACTCTATCTCTGCAGAGCCTCCGACCCACCAGGGCCCCCCGAGGACACCGTGGGTTGTTCCAGGGGTTGCAGACTCCGCTTGCCCAGCCCGTTGTCTCTGAAGTCCAGGAGGTGGGCTGGGGAAGACGCAGATGATCCCTTTGATACATGATAAGGGTTGCATGCGGACCTTCGTCAGGGTGGCGCACATCCCTGAGCCTCAGTTTCCTTCCCAGAATCTCGAAAGTTGTGCCTGGTGGTGTCTGAAGGCCCATGGTGCTGGCAGATAGCCAGCACCGCCCTTCACATTCAGCAGAGAACATCATCGGAGACCTATGGTTTCAGTCGCTGTCATGGTTCCAAATGTAGCCTCCCAAAGTATTTGGGAAGACTTAGAAAATTCCAGAACCCCAGTCTCCAATCCCTATTTCTGCCTCCTGAAAGTGGCTTCGCGTGAAGCAGGTTTTGAAGGTGGCTGTAGAGAGCCTATAGACACCCACTCTAACTTTCAAAAAGGAGTAGCCAATCCAAGAGGGCTGGCTCAACAGTCAGGAAGGGGAGATGCGACACAAAGCTGACGGTATAGCTAAATGTTAGTTTCACTGCCAAAGAAAACGTCCCAGGGTTTTTTAAAAGCCTCTATTCAGAATTATGCGCCTTGGTGAAAGAAGGAAAATATTTAACATTGCTCACAAATTCCGATATATCTTCAGAAGGAAGGAGAGGAGGTGCTGGTCATAGTAACGCTATGTAAAACTTAGGAGGTTTCCACATTTTATTAATACTGTTTTGCTTTGCATCCTATTTCTGTCTAGTTCTCTAATGAGCACCTCCAGAGCAAGAGTTATCACAAAGGACACATTTCTGATTTATTGAAGTATATATTCTGTTGAAGACTTAGACACAGTGTAGTTTGAACAAGAGTGACCAATTAGATATGAAATGTACCTGTACAAGTGAAATGGTTTGTTCAATTCAAAAATGTCTTTAGCATTCATATGTGTATGTATCTAGGCCTATAGGGGGAAAAATTATGCCCCAGTATAGAAATAATTAGCGTTAATCTATTCCATGTAGTCTTTCTTTGGCCCCTTCCTTCTTTGGTTGTTGATTTTGGAAAGGTTTGTTACCTTCTTCTTTATCTGGAAAATAATCCTATATTTCATCCTTCTTATAAATCTTTCTCTCTTTTTTTTTTTTTTTTGGAGAGGTTTTTGCTATAGGGTGTGTGCGCTTGCCAGACAGAGAGAGACAGAGAGACAGAAAGCGAGAAATCACCCCCCAGGGGGGATGGCCAAGCCGCAATCCCTTCTCCTCCATTCTCCTCTCAGGATTTTGGGCACACACGCACACACGCCCAGCGTGAGTTTTAAGTCTCCGGGTCCAGGACATGAACTGCAGTCGACTACATGGGAGTCCAGCGACATAGCCATTACGCTAACTGCTGGTCCCCTTATAAATCTTTCTTAAGATAAACATTTTTTTAATTGTGTTATTGGGTTGTCAGGAAAGTCATGACACATCTTTTGCATAGAAAAATACATCATGACTTTCCTGACAACCTAATAAAACAACTGAATCCATGTTGACTTTACTGTAGTTCTGTCCATGATTTTTAATGAGTTTTCATGCAAGAATATTTTATATATACTTTTTTTTCTTTGACATCTTGATCCTCAGGTTACAAGATAGTCCCTCAAATATCTGAACCATGCTCAGAGATTCTTGACCCTGGAGCTTCACATAAAGGACCATATTGCATCCATATGGATTTCTTGGTAGTTTCCATTTTTTTCCAGCTTCCATAGGCTGGATGGGAAACTCTACTGTTAGTCCACTTCCCACTCCTTAGAAGGAAATGTATCTTTCTTGACTATTTATATATTTATTCATTCTGAGCATCCCATTAATATGTAAACCCCATAGAACTTCTCCAAGGACTTCTGTAATGTTCACCTTTGTAATATTCTCCACTTCCTAGAATGTCACCTGGTGCAGTAGAGGCACGGTAAGTACTTGTGAATAAAAATGGAGTGATAGTGTCCTCAAAGCCCCTGCCACTCTCCCAGTCCTATCCATGCTATTTCTCACCTGAGTTAATCACATTTTTAAACCGATCCCATTTCCTTCATCTTGCTTGGTTCCAAATAGTTCTGTACACCATGATCAGGATTTTCTTCCTTCTTCCCTTTCCTCCTTCTTTCTTTTCTTCCTTCCTTCTTATCCTCCTTCTTTCCTGCCTTATGCCATGAAAGAGACAGAGAGAGAGAAAGAGACAGAGAGGTACCCCCCAATTCACATTATCCACACAGCCTCAGCCAGCCAGGATATGGGCACACATGAATGCCCAGTGTGTAGAAGGAAGCCTTAAATTACTTACATAGGACCTTTCTATATGAGTCCAGTCGTAATACCACTATGCCACCATCTAGCCAGAATTTCTTTTTAAAAGCAAACATATTTTTCCCCAGACTTACAGTCTTTTAATGGCTTCTAAGTGTTGTTGGGAAAAAGTCTAAACTCAAAACTAAATACTCAAATGATTCTTCACAAGCTGGTCCCAGATTCTTTTTCTACATTAGCTTCAAATACTACCCTTAGCTGGAGGGTACTTGTCTCTATCCCTCTATGCCTAATTGACTCTCCTATTTATCCTCCCTCTCTCAGTTCAAATGTCACTTCTATCTGCTCCTCTACCCTTTGGGTGACTTTCTCTATAATTTTTCCTGTCATGACACTGATTCATTCACTGTACAGATGTATTAGTGAAACGCCCTATATACAAGAACTGAGCTAGATCCTAGAAACATGATGATCAAGATAGAACATAGGGCTGGGGTATGGTGGTTGAGGCAGCTGCACAGTTCATAGTTCACATGTCAATTGCACAGTTCAAGTCCCAGGCCCACTCTGAGTGCATGTGGTGCATACCTACAATCCCAACAAGAGAATTGGAGGAAGAAGCATTTTGGTGTGATCATCTCCATGGGGAGTGCTTTATCGCTCTCTCCATGTCTCTCTTTTGCTCTTTCTGTCTCTCTCAGGTGAGTGCACATGCCCTCTGGTAAATTTGAAGAAGAAGAAGAGGAAGAGGAAGAAGAAGAAGGGGAAGAAGAAGACAACAGCAATAACATAAGGCATATATTACAGTATAAAAAACACTTATCAAACAAATCATCAAACAAAAAGATGTGTACTTCAAAGGCCAAGTGTAAGTACAATGAGAACATTGTACTATAATAATAGTGAAATATAAACATATTCTGAAGAATCAGAGAAAGCTCTGATTCTTCAAAAATAATAATTATCAAAAATAATAATTAAAACTAATTCTAGTGCAGGCTCCATAGACTGGCAGTTAAGACAGTTGGGTCTTACATGGCTGACCATGCAGTGAAGAGTCCAGAACGTGAAAGCTTGAGAAACATGCCAGTGTGCATATGTATACAAAATTCTGGAAGAAGTAGAAATGGAGAAGGAATTGCTGCATGACGATTCCCCGTGGAGGGTGCTTTCTCTTCTCTCTCTCTCTCTCTCTCTCTCTTTCTCTCTTTCTCTCTCTGACAAGTTCACACACCTTCTAGCAAAACAAAAACAAAAACCCTAATTTCAGAATAACAGCTACACAGGGACAAAGTGCCTGGGGGTTGGGAGAGGGACCACCTGAAGCTTACTATTTCAGCAAGAGTAAAAACAAGTTTGTTTTTTAAAGGAAGCCAATGTTGTATTTTAAGTATGGAAGTGGTATTGGATGGGTAATTTAAATATATCACTCTGGGGGCCAAGTTAAGATTGGATTTGCAATGTGACTAATTAGAGGCAGATAGACCTGTTAGGAGGTGTAAGTTTCTGGCTAAGGATTGGTGAATATTAGGGCAAAAAGAGAAGGCCTAATGCTGACTGTTCAGGGAAATGTGGCTTGAGAAAAGGCAGTCAAGTGCATTGTTAAGCATATTGATGAAAGCCAGTCTATCTGGATTCAACATTTAGCTCCACTACTTCTTACCTATGCAACTGAGGTCAATTTCTTTAAACCCGCTGAGCCTTTGTTAATAAACCAAGATGGAAGCAGGCATATCCACATCATGGGCTTATGATAAGGACTAAATATGTTGACTAGATAAGATGCATAGACTAGTGCCCGAGAATGGGTACCATTAATGATTATTATTTTTAAAAAATATTTAAGAGATAAAATAGGAAGAATCGATAAATTGATATGAGAAATGGCTGGCAAGAGAGTTAACACTGGGCCCTTGGTTTGGGTAACTGGGTGGATAGTGATGCCCAGAATCAAGAAAAAGAACACAGAAAGGTTTGGTAATACTGCAGAGAATTAAGTCATATATCAAAAATCACACTTACCTTATTATTTTTAAATGCTTTCTTACTTGTAGCATTCTGTATAATCCACTTATGTCACCACCTTCATCTATTTTCTCACTTTTGTAAGTTTTTGATCTTTCTTCTATTTATTGCATTATTTGAATACATGTATATAATGTATATATCTGCTATCTCTGCAATAAAGCATAAATAATCATCATATACAGGGTGGAGGATGGGAGGAGAACCAAGAGTAGAAGATCACTGTCAATCAGGCAATCAGGCAGAGAGATCATTTAACCTTCCTTCACCTTT